GACAGCAAACACCTGGCCGCCGAGCTTCAGCACGTCAAGCAGGTTCTGCACGACAACAAGCTTCGTGTTCCGCGCCTACGTCACAGTGATCGAGTGAAGCCGGCCACAGTCGAGCGTGTGCCTGCTGTACTACCGTATGTCAGAGGTGTCACAAACAAGATTGACTACATCTTGAAGCGAGCTTCTATTAGAACATTCTTCAAGCCGCCGAAGAAGATTAGTCAGTGCAAGACCATCTGTCAAGTGCAATATTCCTCTATAAGATGCAGGAGTGTACAAGCTTGATTGTGAGTGTGGTCTCTCATATATAGGTCAAACAAGACGATCTATAAAAACCCGCGTAAAATAACACCTAGCTGACGTGAAGCACCAACGTTCCGGGAAGTCTGCAGTTTGCGGTCATATCCTAGACGGCCCCCGCCATTACATTAGATTTGATTAACCACAAATTCTCGCGAAAGAACATCGATTCCTGCCAAGGATGATACGTGAGGCTATTGAAATTAAAAAACATCCTAATTTCAATAGAGAGGGAGGCTGGGTACTACCACCTGCTTGGGATCCTGTAATTCATAAAATTAAAACTAAACCCAAGCATACCACTGCAAGACTTCAAGACACAGTCCATTCTGCGTAGATCGGACCAAAATTATTAATTAAAAAAGCTGAAGGTATTCCGGTTTAACTCTGACATCGGGACGTCAATCACCTCAGTCCCCCGGTACCACGGTTGCTGGAAAGCAATCGAAACGTCGGGAGTATAAAATAAGTTAATTAAACGCGATAAAATCCGTAAAAATAGTTTTATTCAAAAACTATTAAAATCGTATTAATTCTATATTAAACACTTGCCTAAAGCCTGCCAGTTCTGGCAGCCTAGTGCAGGATTAATCTAATTTCCTTTCCTAACGGGACTACTAAAATACTTAATTTTATAATTTTAACTACTTTTTTTTATAATTTCATTTACTCCATCTGTGACTGACGGAAAACTAAACATCGCGAGGAAACCTGCATATTTGAAAAAAATAAAGATATTTCAGTATTTAACATGTGAAAACTACCAACACGTATCGGCGTTAGTCTTTTCCTTGGGCGAAAATTCTTCATAAATCTGAGGAGGCTGGGATAAAGTTTAAACGCACCTAAACTTGCTCGGCACCCGGAAGCAAATAATATAATACTTTTACTACTTGAAATATACCAACAATGACATTTTGATATTACTTGTACCTACGTAAGCAAGTTGAAAGTTGTTTTGAAACATTTTCGAGAGACTGTCGTTGTACTAACTTATGTATATTAAAATACTAAAAGTGGAGCAAACTGAAGTCGCATATCCTGAGTGGTGTTACACAAAATAATTCTATTTTATAGTTTTATGTTAGAACTTAGCTACAAAAGCAGCGTGTTGAATTCTTTCAACTTTATTAATAGTGATGGCAGACAACCCGTTTATATTTATCGTATAACTCTTTTTGAAGTGAAAACTTCTTTAGACACATTAGACGACTTTTGAACGGGTATAATATACTATGTAGCGTCACCGACAGGCTATTGTTAACAGTATAGAAGTGTCTGTTACTATACTCGTAACTTTGACGCTTTGCATGTATGAAATGCCAGTTGGAAGCTTTTTAGTTGGGTAAAATTTTATAAGTTCGTGTCACCAACATATTAACGGTAACAGTATATCTGTAGTGTATTTAATGCGCGTATGCTATGAGCTTTGGACGTTTTTATAGACATGAACTCATAATATTTTACTCATCCAAAAAGCGTCCAACTCACATATCATATGCCCATCGTGTTATTCTAATGGCTACAGATATACTGTTAACATAAGTATGTCTATGGCGAGAACTCATAAGATTTTTTTTATTAGTAAAACCTTATGAGTTCGCATCACCAACATGTTAAAATAGCAGTACTTATATTTAATTTACAAAATATGAAAAGTTTAATATTTGATACATGTTTGCACAAGGGTGTACGTTGTTCCGAAATTCGCCATCTCTAATTTGCTCGACAATTGTGGGGAGTACAAAATTTCCCGTGTTGCAAGTAGGCATGAACACTGAAATATAAGACGGACTTAACGTCTCATTCAAGCAGAATAATTATTCAAGCTCAAGATAGAAAGATATTAGATATGGTTTTTGCTCCAAGGACCAACGGTGGTAAGCCATCTGATGGATAAATGTGGTCACGGTAATAAATATCAGCTCGAATGGATTTGCACGACTGGGAAGGAATACGTTCGTGAAATTTATTTATTTATTTATTTTGATACACAAAACAGACAGAGACAAAGCACGATACAAGTACATTAATAAATATTTCTACGGTGTTGATCTTATCGAAGTCCAAAATATGTGCATACAAATGCAAAGTAAGTAGAACATGTTTTTTTTATCAATATAAGAGAAAAATGTTTATAATGAGTCTTTTCTTTTAAGTAAATAAAATTAGTGAATGCTTTCTACATACATAGGAATCGAAAACCCAGGCACTTTGTCTTAGCCCTCAGGGGTAAACGCATCTGCTACGCATCTACTATTGATTAAGGATAGATGTCGAGATGGGACAAAATATTCACTTACCATCAGTTGGACTGTGTGCTTGCTTGTCACATTTATATCCATGATTTTTTGCGGGTCCGACATCTAATAAGTAGGAGCGTAGGCATTTTCTGCGTTTCTGCGGGGGTTTTAAATGAGTACGACACACGTGTTTGTAAGGCCATGCTTGTCATATTGATGTCTATGTAAAATTCATGCATGAGTAAAACGCTTCTTCCATACAGAAGAAAATCCTTCTGCTTGATATATTTTTCCACTAAAGTAATTCAAAACTTGATAATATCACGTTATGATTTCTCATATGAATAAATAATTAAAATAAATCTACCTATATTATCCTATCATTTATTGATTAGTAGAATAATTTAATTTATTAAATTATTATTGACATGAAATAGGTACGTGAAATAAGTTTAATTCAGTTTCATTAGTTTTACATAGAAGCAAAATTTTAAGGTCATTGAAATGTCACAAATAATACAGACGAATTTTCACGTACAAACGATTAATTTTTCTCGCTTCTTGCTTTTCGTCTATTTATACTGTAGCAATTTCGATAGGTGGCAGTCGCAGGTCACACTCGTTATGACACATCTAGGTCGAAACTGTTCAGTGTACAACACGTTGCTCCAATCTACAACTTGTTTTCAGTTTCGATTAAAACGTCCGATGGCATGACGTGAAAAATTGTTCGCAATATTTGTACGCTTTAGAGAAATAACAGTTGGTTTGTTTTCGCTCATACTTTTAGTTGTTTGGGAAATTTATTATAATGTAGTAGTTATGAGAAGTTTGTTTCGTTGAATAGCGGCTTAAGGGAACCACTACTCCTTATATTGGCAAGGGTGCCATAAGAGGTGACAAATAGAAATCTAACAGGAGATGTTCTAACCCGCCTCCCGAGTGCGGCAACTTTATCAAATATTTCCCCTATGGAGCAATCTATGGAGGGGGCCTATATTCAGACATTTGACTATAATCTGATCTGGATATTTCACATTTGGCATAAGATGGTTAAGATGTTGATTGGAAGTACGAATCGGAAGCGCTTAATGTATCTATATAGCTTAATGTATATACATTTTCTACGTGGTAGAGCCATGTTGCAGCTATATTAATAGTATAGTTGTGGCACCACGCTCTCACAGAATACCAGCGTAAAATAGTAGCTTAACACTTTTGTGTTTCGTATGGTGAGTGTAGAGAACCGGCGACCCTTTTTACAGGCGTTCCATCTTAGTCCTCTAGGGTGGCAACGCGTCTGCATTTTGATACTTTATTGAGGATAGATGTGGATGTCTATGGGTCACAGCAACCACTTACCATCAGGTGGACTATGTGCTCGTTTGTCACCCTATCCTATAAAAAATATAGGATAGTTGGCACCACCATTAATATAAATGTACATTTATTTTTATTTTTATTGGCTACTTTTAGCAGTGTTAAAACTTAGTGTTTTTTTATTTTAGTTAATTTAAAAGTTAATATAATAATACAAATAAGATAATCATACAATAAAACTTTGATGAATTTAAATGTTTGTTTTGCTAACTCTTCGAAAGAATTACAACTGAACTCAGTGTCATATACCCAATTGAACAACAATTAATTCTTAGATAGGGAAACATTATTTGCAAGCCATACAAATAAATTTTGAGTAGTACGTAGACATAGACTTAATTAATACGAGACGTCAAATTAGTAATTTAGAAAGAGTACAATATCTGAATGAGTAGAAATCTCGTTTCTAAATTTATACATTCAACATTTATTACAGCCTACTAAAAGTACATTGCTGAAAATAGGTCTTTCCTTTTAATACTTCACAATATTTGGTATCCGTACTTTTATAATATTTTGTGTTGTTACAAGAAAGATGCTGCTGCCCTACTTCTTAAATTCCTTCTGTCTCATTTTACAACACCCGCCAGATGATATGATGAGGTAAATTCCCTTTAGTTCAATTATACGCCGAAGTTTATACAAAGTTGCAAAATTTTTCTTAATGAAAATGGCAAACAAAGAATATCACATAAATAAAGAATTATCGGTTATATAATGTGACATATTAAAACCTTAATAAAATAGTGTGAATAAATAAAACTAGAATTGTGCATAACTTAGAGCACGACTCTTTTGATCGGGCGTTAAAATCAAGTAGGTATAAGTATTTAATTATAAGTTCATAAGTTCAGTCCTGAATATGAATAAGAGAACTTTTGATTTACTTTCCATAAGTAAAAATAAAATGTACTCATTAGAAAATAATATTTAATTTTTTTTTTGCACACCGTAGCGGAGCGTTTTTATAACATAATAAACGCCAGGTTCGGAGTGAACTCTAATATACAAAAGTTTGTACCCATCCGTGAGTTTCCTGAAAAAAAAAAACTTACTGTTTGTTTTTTTTTGTTTCAGGTGCCTAGAAAAGATGCACTGCTTGTGGATACTGGTGGGAGTAGCGACTTTCCTTAAAATAGGTACGTGTTTAATTTAAAAAAAAAACGCTCATTTTCTTAAATTTTGGTTTGTACTTTGTAGCGAAAAGGAAATCGCTTCGCGGTAATTATTGTAGACTTTAAAAAAATCTACATTAAGCCATTGTTTTAACGAGACATTCACTGGATGTAGCTCCCTTTTGAATAATCCATGACATTATTACCCTGTTGATTTTTGTCTCAAAAAATATTATAATTGTCAACGCGAAAAATACCTCTGGCAACGCTCTCATCCCGTTGTTCTTTTGTTATTGTTGGAAAGCGAAAAACTCTGAGCTCATTACTACATTTAAATGAATAGAAACCGAGCATTGTAAAAAGAACAACAACTCTGAATTCTGAACGAATGTATGTACGCATACGAGCGAACGAAGAACTGAATGAAGTATCGTGTGTTCACCGCATTATTCCGTACATCGAGACCCAGAGTAAGTTGGCGTGAAATTTTAATGCATTATTTTTTTTATTCCTTAGGAATGCAATGCATCAAATGAATAGAAAATGTGAAGTTTTTAAATTTTTTTTTTAGAATGTGTCATAATAGTTACACTCGCTATGTTAGATATGGTTAGATAATCTTACTCCTAATAAGCTGAATTATCGTTTTTATAAGTTAAAAGATTAAAATCTATATGTTGTATTTAATTTACTTATAATAGTTTTTGTTTGATTTTGATAATTCCTTTTGGTACTAGTTTAAAATTGCAGATTCGTTCGCTAGATTAATTATAAAGTGCCGTCTTTTTACTTACGTTCATCATTTTCTGTAATGTATTTTGAGAGAAAATCTTACAAACTCCAGCGCTCTAAGTTAATAACATTACATTTTAAGATCTATTTTTACAGTTTATTTCGCTAATACTAAGTATTAAGCCCAAAAGAGGTTCACTCTTATTACTTTCCAATCAAATGAAATCATAAACATTTATTTCGGATTTTTAAACCATAGGTGTTAAAAAAATTAAAATTTATCCCAGTGTTAGTAACATTAATGACATAATTAATTTAATTTATTTTAATTTATTCTTGAGCCTGGCTGAGAGACGCATGCATACAAATCCAGTGCCGTAGTAGTACAGAATTCCACTTATTTTCCGATGCGCCCAGAATGGTGTTCGAAGTTTCGCGCATACGTCTTAACAGCGAGGTGCTTCTCTGCGGATGATGGTATAAAAGCAATCAGTTTATGCCTCGGCAAACATAGCCATGTATGTTGTACTGAACACGTAGGGAACTGTGCGCTCGCTGCGTGTAGTTAACCCATAGACTGTACGTGTAGAACAACTGACAATACGCCTTAAAGAGCGTCAGTTTAATTTGCTTACTACAGCGTGCAAATCTACGAACCAATGTTTAGCCGTGCATACACAGCGCCCTTTGTTCCCTTTCTATATCACCTTATAACGTTTGATGGTACGATAAACGAATCTTTTGGTTATATTCAAATTTTTCAGTATGTCGAAAATTTGAATTGGCGCGTAACCGCAACGATGCAACGCAATAACTGCAACACGATCTTTAAGCGTCCACTCCATATTTAAAAATGAGTAAAATTCTAAAAAGTATACAGTTTTATTTTCATGAACAATTCGAAATTCGAATTCAATAAACTTTTTTGGCCAGCATTCTAAAAGAAAAGTTTTTACTGTGTGACAATACTTATGGCCGGACTAGGTATATATATATACAGGGTATTTTTGGAATGCTCCCGAAAACTAAGACAGGCGACAGCACCAAGTATACCTTTGATCATGGGTCACAAATAAATTCGATCCTGATGAAAAAAAAATCATCTTTTAACAACGTTTTATTAGCTTTATTCACGCGCCATCATGTTAGTACAGCTAAATGAAACGATAATTTCGTAAAAAATATCATGAAAATACTGAAACATAAAACCAGCAGTGGAATGACTGAATTGTATCACCTGACTAAAGGTCAATGTACTCGCGAACGCAAATTCGCGCGGCCCGCAACTAGCGGGCCATACCACTACATACGCTAATGAAAAAATACTTAAGTGAAATGTAACCAAGGTTGGAGTCATGCGTTTTTATTCATCGTGTAGGTATGTTACGTTATTTTTAATATAATATCTAATCAATTAAAGCTAACAGATATTGAAAAGGATTGTGTTAAGGTTTGCCACCGACTTGGATCATCTCAAAGTAAGACACGACCAGTTTTGGTTCGATTTTTTGATACTGAGCATAGGCGGATTATTTGGGACAACAAAGCCAATCTCAAAGGCTCCGGTATCACCATTTCAGAGTTTTTAACGAAAACCAGGCATCACATATTTACTACAGCACGTAAACACTTTGGAATTAAACATTGTTGGTCATCTGAAGGAAAAATTGTTATAATGCTCCCCGATAAAACTCGACAAAAAATTGAAACGCTGGCTGAACTGGAACTACTCATCGTGAAATATCCTTCTAGCTCCGCTACTAACGATAACGTATCACATTCCGTTAATTTAACATCGATAACCGTTAATGCCCCGAAGAAATCACGCCGACGCATCAATAACTAAAAAACAGTAGTATTGTTTTCTTTAAAAATTGCATTACTATAATCGCAGCATTCAACTTTTTAATTTATTATTGTTATATAATAATGAAGTTAACTGACATAGGCGGAACGCATAAACGCCACATATAATGCACTTTTAATTTCAAGGTTAATAAATATTGCTGCAATGCAATGAACACAAATAAAACAAACTTATTAAGTTTTTACTACCTACCTACTTTTTAAGCTTATTTCTAATGTTTACATTACTTTGTCTTATTGTATACTCTAAGGTTTAAAATAACGTTCCGTTTTCTCCTTGTTAATTTTGTATTGCAATTAGTATTTTTGGTTTTCTTCTTCTAGTATTAATATAATATTGTGTATTTATAGATTAATTTAAAAAATCATTACGCTAGTGAGTTGCACTGAGTTGAGTTGTCTTTGTTCTTATTTAATTTCGTTTTTTTTTATTATAAGTTAGATAGTATTTTTTTCTTTTAACATTGGTATATTTTTCTAATAGGATATTGCTTTTTTTATTATTAAGTTATTTTTTTATTTTTATTTTATAGTATATAATATATATATTATTTTTTATTGTCATAATTATGGAAAGTCCAACTGATTTTAATGATGGTTTTTTCTCGTGTAATTCATCTTCAACCAGTTTCTTAAGCGCAGATACCGAGTCATCTGAACCTCTTGGACTGCATGATCATATTTCTGCCATATTTTCTCCTTATCCCAATAATTTTAATGTTGCCCATATCAACGCACAAAGTATTCCTGCCCACTACCCTGACCTTCTTGCATCCATTAGCAGTAATCTAATCGACGCACTTCTTATATCTGAAACTTTTTTCAAGTCTTCTCTTCCTTCTTTTCAGTTTTCACTTCCTGGTTACGTTTTGATACGTAACGACAGGATCGGTAAGGGAGGAGGTGGTGTAGCTATTTACCTGCGTTCTGAAATCCCTTACAAACAAATCTCTGCTTCCCCGTCAACTTATTCTGAATCTGCAGAGTACCTTTTTCTTGAGGTTACACTTTACCACACAAAAATCCTTCTTGGTGTGATATACAGCCCTAATATACAAATTAATTATTTTGACGTATTTGAAAATCTACTTACAGACTTTTGTCCTATATACAGTCATGTGATCGTGATGGGAGATTTCAACACTTGCTTACTCAAAAACGATTCACGTGCATATAAGTTGAAGTCTATTGTGTCCTCACATAATCTACAAATTTTACCCCTCTCTGCTACCCATCATTTTCCCAACTGTACTCCGTCTTTACTTGACCTTATAATAGTTTCATCTTTAAATAACATCGCGAATCATGGACAAATAACAGCTTCTTTTTCGTATCATGACCTCATTTTCATTTCATATCGTGTTCGTCCACCAAAGCGTAAACCACATTTTCAATTTCTTCGTAGCTATAAGGGTATTGACTTGGAAGCCATAAGACGAGATGCAAGTGGAATGGACTGGTCTTCCGTAATGGATTGTCAAAATATTGATAATATGGTGAATAACTTTACTACTTTAATTCTTAGATTGTATGATTGCCATGCACCTCTCAAACGTATAAAAATAAAACATTGTCCTGCGCCCTGGATTACAAAAGATATAAAAGAGCTTATGGCACGTAGGGATAAAGCCAGAAGTAGATATAAACATTGTCGCTTGGAAAGAAATCTAATCAAGTTTAAGATTTTACGTAACCGCTGCAATCGTCTGTGTAGAGATGCTAAAAGACGCTACTTTCATGACTCACTTTCAAATTGCGATTTAGGAAAAGCCTGGAGTTTTCTCAAAACAGTCGGCATTGGCAAACATCCTGCGCTTGCGATTGGAAATCTTGATATAGATACTCTCAATCGACATTTTTCTCTACCACCTGTTTCCTTATCTTCATTTATAAAGGCTAAGACCTTGTTAGAATTATCCAGATGCCCTGTACAACATTTCCCCCAGTTTGAATTTGTACCAGTATCAGAAGATGAAGTAAAACGGTCAGTGCTATCCATATCTTCTACTGCGTTGGGAAACGATAAAATTTCTTCCACAATGATAACTATGATTTTACCTTGTATTCTCCCAGTTCTTACTTACATATTTAACTTTTCATTGTCTTTCTCCTGTTTTCCATATTCGTGGAAGTTAGCACACATTATTCCTATAGCCAAGGTTGCTAACCCTACATTACCTTCTGAATTTCGACCTATATCTATATTACCATTCCTCTCTAAAGTACTGGAACATATTGTTCACAATCAATTTTCTTCTTATCTTAACTCCAACAATATTTTAAGTACATTTCAATCTGGATTCCGGCCCGGTCACAGAACAACAACTGCTCTTCTTCAGGTAACTGATGATATCCGTCGAGCCATAGATCAAAAACAATTAACAGTACTCGTTTTATTAGATTTTAGTAGTGCCTTCAATTCTGTT